ACACAACCGAGCAACTCCTACACTTCACCGACCCTACCCAGTGGTGAGACTTTTACAAGCACGCCCTATTCTACCCATATTCACTATCTACCAGTAAACACATTGACAACACAAATGTGGATTGTTTTAAAATTATATTATACAATATCAAATCACATTTGTACAACATTAGAATCACATTGTTGTCCAGTGTTCTCCTCTCATATTCTCCTTCGTGACCTGCCATCTTACCCCTATCAAAGGAAAATAATTAGAAAATACAAATAAGCATCATTTTTAAATTGCATTATAACACGCATTTAGATTATACTAATCAGCATGGTGGCTGGCAAAACAGTCAATATACATGAGACCTTAATTTGATAACTGTTATCCTAATTATTATAACAATCATCATGTAAGTTAAAATACTAGGCAGCTAATCGAAGATATGATGATCGTCATAATATTTAGTGTAACAGTTATGAGAAAATATAACACAACATATAACGAGTTTATTATGACAATAGTCATCAAAATACTTAGGAAAATAGGTAGCATGATATTCCGCACAATAGGCGGAATAATTGTTCTCATTACCGAAAGTAGAACTAAAACAATAATGGTTAGTAGGATCGCGGCCATAATTGTAATCTTTGTACTAATGATATGAACAAAAAATCACAGAGGAAAAATAGACAGCCGTTCAGTGAGTGATCAACTTTCAACTGATATTTTACATTACTGGTGACTTCCAAAGAAAATGTCATTCACTTGATGAAGCTTCTGTTGGGAAAGCAACGGAAGTCAGTTTGTTCTTATTACATTAAGATCCAGTCACAATAGTTCAGAGAGGCACATTACCATTGGGACTTTACAGAAATTTCTTACGTTTATCGAAATCCAATGGCCACACACAACCAGAAATATGGGGAATAATTTTAGGAGTATTGGTAGTGAGAAACAATAAATACAGAGAACATGGCTTATAAAAGAAGACATGTAAAGGTTTGCAAGATAGAACACAATATATACATATATATATATATATATATATATATATATATATATATATATATATATATATATATATATATATATATTTAACACAGTATATATACTGTCTACCGGGACCCAGAAATCTAACTTTGTGGCTTTACTTAGATGTTCATGAAACACATCAAATGAAGAATATTCTTGGATAATAAATCAGTGTCATACCCACATAGTATGGATATGGTGTGGACATTAATCTCACTTAGAAGAACTGATTAGACTGAATACAGTCACAGTGTGTTGTGTGCTACAGATATAAGTCGACAGATATAAGTAGTATGTATCGTCACTCGAAAGTGGAGTGTCTGGCAGTAGAAGGTTAATAAGATCGAAGAAAAGAGGATGAAAAGAGAGAGCGATTGGTGTGGAAACGAAGGAATAGTCAAGGCTGAGACGATTGATTGACATTTCGCAAATGAATAATTTACTGTATGGTTCTCAGATTTTACTAAGCTAAGGCATTCTGTAATTCCGTATTCGAATGTATTTGTTTGTCCCACCTGTTCGTTCTCGTTCACCATAACGGAACTGCACAAATGGTAACAGAAATATAATAGAGTGACCTCAAAACAACAAACTACAACGTCTCCAGCTGAACCGAGACCAATATATATATATATATATATGTTTACTAAGAGCATATCAGGTGTAACTCATTCTGACCGGTCATATAAAATGTTTATATTCCTCAACATAATGACTTACAATGGAAACAGTTTTCAAAATAATTTTTTGTCACATTTTATCCACTAAATGAACATAAAGTTTTGAATACTCTACACATTCACGGATAGACAAGCTACGAGTCAGATTGTTTGCCAATATGAATAGTGGAGATTTTCAATCAACAACAGAAACCATGAGGAATCGCATAAAAATTAATTTTAATTACACGTCTGACAATTGTTTGTCGCATTATTTTCATCATCATATATACAGACTAAAGCAAATTTGAATATACAGTTAAGTGATTGGCAGTCACCTGATTGGTATCGATCGTGTAAATTCAAATGTCAGTTCTATGTATTAATTAGCATGCAACAGTCAGAAAAATCAGTTGAAAGTTGGCCACTCACTGAACGGCTGTCTATTTTTCCTCTGTGATTTTTTGTTCATATCATTAGTACAAAGATTACAATTATGGCCGCGACCATTCTCACCATTATTGTTTTAGTTCTACTTTCGGTAATGAGAACAATTATTCCGCCTATTGTGCGGAATATCATGCTACCTATTTTCCTAAGTATTTTGATGACTATTGTCATAATAAACTCGTTATATGTTGTGTTATATTTTCTCATAACTGTTACACTAAATATTATGACGATCATCATATCTTCGATTAGCTGCCTAGTATTTTAACTTACATGATGATTGTTATAATAATTAGGATAACAGTTATCAAATTAAGGTCTCATGTATATTGACTGTTTTGCCAGCCACCATGCTGATTAGTATAATCTAAATGCGTGTTATAATGCAATTTAAAAATGATGCTTATTTGTATTTTCTAATTATTTTCCTTTGATAGGGGTAAGATGGCAGGTCACGAAGGAGAATATGAGAGGAGAACACTGGACAACAATGTGATTCTAATGTTGTACAAATGTGATTTGATATTGTATAATATAATTTTAAAACAATCCACATTTGTGTTGTCAATGTGTTTACTGGTAGATAGTGAATATGGGTAGCATAGGGCGTGCTTGTAAAAGTCTCACCACTGGGTAGGGTCGGTGAAGTGTAGGAGTTGCTCGGTTGTGTAGCTGTGGTAATTGTACTAACTGATGATTCCTCCGTACTTGATTGCGCACTGGTTACGAATTGCAAATATAGTACATTCATTTGTAGTACATTCACTCATCTAGTTCTGACTGATTCGGAAATTCTAAGTTTGTACATTAATTCGAGTACTTTTAATCATCGTACTGACATCGCGATCGAGCAAAATCTCGGACGGTTGTATATTATTTTAAATGAGGATAAATTTGAAGACCATGTGGAGTGATCTGAATTCTGGTGCATGAACAGAAATGATATTAAGAGTGATCGGGTCACACCTTATTCGCTGGCTTCCACCGTCAAAGGACATTTTAACCTGCAAAAGTATCCGACTTTTCCAGAAAAACCAATTCAAATGGAGTCCATTGTCTGTCATCAAGCAATATGTGAGTAACAACCCGTTTCATTTATTCATGGATTCAATTTAAAAAATGAAATGCTGATTTATTACCTTAACATCAACAGAAGCTAGAATATTGATGACACTGTAAAATCATATACATGTTTATGTATCCAAATAAGTTGAAGGTTTGGTCTGTTGTTTCGCCTAATATCTTAATGGAAAAAAGCGCTTGCAGTAGTATCTATAAGTGATCAGGCATAAACAACAGACGTATCTGTATGGAAAACAGGTGAATCGCAGATATCGTGGATGCTGTTCAAAATTCCCATTTTGAACTAATCCACCACATAATACGACACATCAACTAAGAGCCATGTATTTTGTCCTTGGTTTTAGTGGTTAGTTGAAGTGGTCACCGTCTGTCATTTGATTTTCCTTCAGATACATGTTCTTCATTTATAGTCTATTTCCCTCGTCTGTGTTCAACAGAAAACTTAAGATAATTTGTGCTACGATAAACCTTTGATGTAACGTGTTCGACCTGTCTACATCTTATCAGTCCACATATGCAATTCATGACTTCGTTCAACATAAGTGTGTCTTGTGTAAGATGTCAGATCGTGAGCATATTTTAGCATCATTAAACCGTCGGCTCAGTAGCACGTACAAATCTTCTGGTTTTGACAGAAAGCCAATTACCATGTTTGTTATGTGATGAAATACTTGCACTATACTGGTTTATTAAGTGTCATTATCGTGCATGGTGATTAATGTTGGGATTCCTTTGAGAAGAACGACAAACGCTCTAGAGGCTCGAAAGGAACCGAATAACCTGATACAGCCTTTTGTAATGTCAACGTGGCATGCTGCCATTGGACAATAGCATAGCTCGCCTTCTTGCGGGTTGGCCGGATTATAATAATGTTATAGCTAATACTAATAATCATAAATGCACATGTCTTTCTGTACATTTTTGTTTCCTACCTAATAATCACCTTCCTTGCTTTTTTCGTCTTTTGATTTGCGATTGTAGCGTTCTACACGTTCGATTACCGTTAGTTGTAAGTCGTATTCTGCCGTAGTCAACTAGAGGATGTGACGACAACTACATTTTTCTACTCAGTATCACTATTTTTGGGGAAGTGAAGAAAATTCATACGGAAATCTTACTGATCCTTAGGATATGATTCAGTCTGTATTTCGAAGGCATATCTGTCTTTAATTTTAATTAATGTAGTTTACGCAGTTCTAACAATCGAACATCTATCATAGTTGGTTTGTGATTTGGTTTATGATAGCAAATCAAATCATCTGAAAATTATACACATTCATGAACGTTGATCGCCTAACACAAATTACTACTGCATCAAAACAAGCATCTGTCTTGTTCTGCTGAATTATTTCAAAAGTCAATTCATCTCTACACAACTGTGCCTCACCATGTAACCTCTCCTTCTTTGTATGTCGCTCTAGTTTATTTAACTAGGTAGAAAATGAGTTTGGGACAAAGATGATCACATCCTACACAATTGTCGATATGTTCTCTGAAAGTGAACTGATTATTACTTAGTCCAGAAAATAAGCACAATATTCAATTACTTTGATATCCACAAACTCTCTCTTTCTCTCTAGTAGTCTATTGTGAATGTTTAAGATAATGGTAAACAAAACACTTCACTGATTAGAATATCGAGTTTATGTGCAATACAGATCTTTCAGTTCTATTTGTCTATCTTTTGAAATTCTAAAAGATTAGAATGCACTCCATCATAATCCAACGATCACTTAAACGAAATAGGTTAAGAAAAATATCGAATGATTGAAATTCACTACACACTACTCAATGAACAAAGCATTTTATTAAATAAATATATTTTAAAAGAACAGGTTAACATGTTTTCAATTTGGTGATAATAATAAATGATCACCATAAATGACATTAGACAATCCCATCTCATGATTATTCATTTGCACATATTATTAAGGAAATAATTGTGAAAGAAAGAAGTTAGCTGTATGTTAAAATATAAAAAGCAAAATTAACAGGAAAACGTTTTTCCAAAAGAAATAAAACAGTTTTACAACATACACACTTTATCTGCATGTATGTGTACAAATCACAATAATGTAAAACAATGAATTTGTCCTTGTCTATCACCGGCAAGAATTTTCAATTGACTATCACCATCAAGAGTATAAAGTTGAGTGATTTCTGTCTCAACTGGATACATAGCAACCTTTAGAGAAAAATTGATATTCATCATTGAAAAAATTGAACACATTCAATACAGTAACTTGGATTAATACAATTGACTATTGAAACAGGAAAATTAAGTGAAATAGAAAGTACGCCTGGTCATCACACATTCCATACATGTTGACTGACTTATAAACGTGACATCGATTCATGAAGTCACTTACACAATTAGTCTGAAACAGGTTGATAGCTGCAGACTATATAGTTTGGGTTCGCGTGTTTATATTGACCAATGGTTGAAGATATTCGATATGGGTTAGAATCAGTCGCTATGGTCAAGATGCAATCACGTTTTCCTGACTTCAATTACAAAAACCGTCTTATACTTTTCTATACCGCGAACTTATTCATTCTCATTGACTGGTTGACTAAAAGATTTCAATAATAAAGAAAACCATCGTTGCAAAATAAAAGAGTGGGTAAAGTAGATCAATTTTGAGCATGAGACAATCTACTATTCACTGATAGTGTCGACTTGAAATCGTGAACAAATGAACATGAATTCAATAATCAAAACAAATTGAATTCAATGTGAAATCCAAAGCTACACAACATCACTCCATGATGTAAGATTGTCGAAAAGACCTGATATAATACTAAACAGCTTTGAAGGGTTCCCTAGATTCCTTTTCTGTATATTCTTCACTTGACGATTATTAGGTAATGGAAGTTAATTGCAAATTAGTTACTATCAGAATATAATAAAGCAAGCTATTTTAATGTGTGATAAATTAATACACTCGGTTTAAATAATCTGTACAATTGATAATTTAGTGATTATATTATAGTACTAATACTGAAATATACCATCTGAACTCTGTTACAACTTGAAATCAACACAACCCATTAGTAGGGCTCAATTCTTAATGTAAACATCAACACTGGAATGCGGGTACATTCAGATGGAGAGTCCTGAAGATTTACACAAGACAAGCCTCTTCAGATTTACTAACTAAATACATCTCACATAGCAATATACTCAGCACAATCTACTTGAATATATTAGGTCACTGAAAAGGTTTAATCTTTCATTGGCACATTACTATGTAAACAGGAGGAAATTATGTAGCCATAATGATGAGCAATCAAATTTAATGTAATGTAATTTAATGTAATGTAATTTAATCTGTCCTCAAAACTTCAGTCAGTTATCAATTTCGAATATCTAAAACTGATGACTGAGAGGGTTTTAGGGTTGATCTCCAACCATTCAAACTTAATAAATGCCGATTGAATGACTTTATGAACACATGAGGCGGTTGTCAAAAGACGAGAGTTTAAACTATACTAAAACAACATTTGTCCAGGCAACGAAAGTGATCAAAATTATCCCGTAGCTAATTCACATCGTCCATTGACATTAGTCGAAAAAAATTCAAATTTATAAATCATCGTTAGACAATAACTGCTTAATCAAACAAGATGTTAACAGTAAAATAAATCAATGTTTATTGATGATTTGAAAAGTTAGAATTTTATCAACCAGAATAAATGTCTTCATCAGGATAACTACTGACTACATGCATCATTGATAAACAATGGGGATCTGGCTTAGATGTGAAGGCATGGATTGTCAAAGCAATGGCAATATTCCTACAACTGAAGAACATCTGCAACTAAAAATAACTACGAGACAACATAAAAATCAGGATCTTCAATAAAAACGTCAAGACTGTGCGATTGTATGGAGCTGAAACTTGGTCAACTACCACAACCATAAAAAATGTACAAGTATTTATAAACAATTTCCTACGCAAGATAATCAATGTTTGTTGGTCGGATAGCATCAGCAACAGCCTACTACTATGGAAGAGGGCAAACAAGCTTCCAACTGAAAAGGAAATTAGGAAAAGACGTTGGAAGTGGATAGGACATAGATTATGGAACCTATCAAACTGCATCACGAGGAAAGCGCTAACTTTTGTTTCACATACAAATCTCCTCAGTATTGCACAAACTGCTACTTCTCACCACCACAATAGTTTTCACTAAGTTCCCTAACTCACATTATTTCATGATGAAATTGTTGCAAAACACAATGGTAATAAGTTAAGCCAACCAAACACAGAAACACATTATTTAAAAAAAGACCAAATAAGAAAAGAAAGCAAGAGTGAGAAGTTAGAAAAATACCAGTTTAGTTATCACTGTGTAAACATGAACTAATGAAAGAACTACAATTCTAGAATTACATAATCAATAACTCATGCAAACAACCAGATATTCAATTCAACTTATGTAGGCAAACCTGGACATGAGTAATTACATATTTTCAATAGGGTTACATTGATTCATTGCATTGTCAACTGACAAATTAACTAAAATAACTAACTGTGTCTAACAACATTCAACAACATTCATTCATTCATTCATTTGTACAGATAGGTGAAGATTATATGCACAAAATGAACATATTTACTAGTTGGCTTTTTCCATACCAGTCTTACCTGTTTCCACTGTTTTGAATTCACCACTGTGATTGGATTGTTTATTGCACATCCTAGAACACGTAAAATATTATCTGATGTTGCAATTATAAGATAGATCAATGTTGAACTATTGTCTTCAGTTGGTGATAGTAACTTCGCACAATATCCAGTAACTTTTATTGATGAATTATCAAGCTATTCCAAAGAGAAAAGAAAGTATTCACCATGATGTCGGTAGTTTTACACTTTGCATCGGATTGAATAAAACGTACAAATATTGACTCAAGGATTAGAATATTAATAATAATAAGAAGAAGAAATACGCCACAGAAATCGAGAGCCAACACCAGACATATTATCAACAATGTTTACATTTGTACAACGTAAACAATATATTAGGTATAAAAACTCACTGTAAAATCTGTCACCAAATCACCATTTTCATTACAAATGAGAATTTTCCAACAATTCATAAGATGACATTCAGCCAAATACAATCTGAATGAAAAAGAAACACAAACGACAACTACCGTTAAACATTCACATTACAAGTATCAGTGATTGTAGGTCAAAGAACTCAACACACAGGTGATAGTGAGATATACACAACTCGAAACAAAGTGACGATTTTCTGGAGCACCAATCTAGACAAATAAAACAACATTGATCTACCACCTATAATTGGACGACAACAGATTTTCTATATGTTATCTGTTGCATACTGTTCTCTGAAATAAGTTACTTTAAATCACAGTATATATTAAAATGTTGGTTGATTGAAGGGAATGTGTAGAAGATCAATGTATCTATGTGATAAGTTTTTTGCACTGAACCCTCGATCCCATAACGTAGCCGCTTCTAATAGCCATGCACTAAATCGACTTGGCGGCTTGAACACAAGAGAAAATGTGTAAAGTGCAAAGGCACGTTTTACTCAAAGGTTACGGTATGTGCAGAAAATCGTCAGTGTTCATACTATTTGAAGTGACTCTGATCCCCCAGATCCATACTAAATACAACAATAATAAAAAGGTAATTACCCAGTAGAAAATTGCACGTGTGATCTGTCGACCATCAAGATGTTAAAAAAAAGTAGGATTTAATTTGTCCCACAGATATACTATTGGAACCGTAAACGCGATACTGACGATCACAGAGTCTATATGAAATCTATAGTCAGAACAAAGACAACTTGGCCTCAAACTTTATCTGTTTCTGAACGTGAAAACAATCAGATCAGTACAATAATTAAGAAAATTACAGTTATTAAGTGAAATGCACAAACATACCGACCAGCATTGCGCGTCTTATCGAAATGAATAAAATTATGAGTCACACTAATATAATAGGGTTGATGATGTCACAGGTATTCAGTGTTTGACAACGCTTCTACCAGTAACACCTTCTTATGTATTTCGTCCCCACCAAGAGAAATCAAAAGACAGAGTCGAGAAGATCGGAAGAGTATATTTGGCGATGACCATTATATCGGGATTCTCTGATCTAATCTGGCTAGCGATTGCGGTTGATGTTGAGCACGGCGTTACTACACGTGATCTGGTGCGGATGCCTGACCGAGCGCCTTCAGCTAGATGAGTCCACTAAAACATATGTTCAGCATCCAATGTCGAAAACTTAGTGCTATTTATTTTGGGGATTTATTTACCGCTACAGATCACTCCCCCCCTAGTGGGGCAGTGACGACCCTAAGACGTAGCCAGCCAGAAGTTTAAACCCAACGAGTTTGTCGTTGGTAAACACTCTTCTGATAGCTTACTAAATTTAGCAGCGTCTGGTCGTCTTTCCTTACTATATGGGACGGAGGTACAACATAGTAAAAAAAGAAAATGTACAATGAAAATTTCGGATCCTCATAAACGTCATCGTTCTTTTCCAGCCGTCCTGGAAAAGAAAAAAGAAAATGTAAGTGGATGTCGAAAATACACTCGTATTTGCGTAAAAACACAATGTCAGCGGAAGAAAAAATGGAAAATAAACTCATGAGCACGTAATAACGTTAAAAAAATTGTTTTTTTTTATAGAAATAAAAATATATAAGCATATTGAAATTGTTTTTTTTTAAAAAATAATATAAAATGTCGAAAAGTGCCTTACGTGCAATAGTCGTTTAAATGTTCTGGAAATCTCACCCTTCTTCCAGAACGCGTCGTTTTAAGTTTATTTTCGGATACTGTCGAAGTATCATCGCGTGTGTTGGTTGTCGGATGAGGTATTATAAGTGTCGGAGTCATGTCGTTCGATTGTACCGAAGGAAAATCTACGTAGATAGGATTTCCTTCTTAATACGCTGCTTTGAGGCGATCGATGCTGATGCTATCGTTGGTCCCGTTCTTATCGACTATATAGTACTTAGATTCACGTTGAAGAACTTTGAAGGGTCCTTCGTATGCTGATTCGAATGGTCGTCGATGCGAGTCTCGACGAACGAAAACGTGTGTACTATATCGTAAGTCAGGTTGAACGAAAACATCAGTTGATTGTGGTCGAGTGGAAGCAGGTTTAACTGAACGCATTGCGTTTGTAAGCCTGTTCGTGTAGGAGGTTAGATCCATGTTCATCGAAGAGCACGAAGGATCCACGAATTCTCCTGGAAGTCGAAGTGTCGTTCCATAAACGAGTTGAGCCGCAGTGTATCCAATGTCAGCTTTCACTGCATTTCGGATACCTAGTAAGACGAGTGGAAGAGCGTCGGTCCATTGTGAAACGTTTGCAGCTGATAGCGAAGCTTTCAGTTGTCGGTGAAAACGTTCTACCAACCCGTTTGCTTGTGGATGGTAGGCGGTCGTTCGGAAGCGAGTGATTCCTAAAAGTGTGGTCAGACGACGGAAAAGATCAGATTCAAACTGACGTCCGCGGTCTGTAGTGATGGTTGAAGGGCAACCGAAGTTTGCTACCCATCGTTCGACGAATGTGCGGGCCACTGTTTCAGCAGTGCTGTCCTTGATAGGTACTGCTTCTGGCCATCGAGTGAAACGGTCTACGCAGGTTAAAAGATAAGAGTATCCATTTGAATCTGGTAAAGGTCCTACCAAATCCAGATGGACATGGTCGAAACGGGCATCGGGAGTTTTAAACGAGCCTAAGGGACATTTATTGTGTCTGATAACCTTAGATTTTTGGCAGCTTACACAGGAGCGTGCCCACTCCCTCACGTCTTTATTCATGCCAGGCCAGCAAAATCGTTCTGCTATAAGCTTGATGGTTGCACGAACACCTGGATGAGAAAGTTTGTGCAATGTGTTGAAGACATTGTAGCGTGGCGTCGAGTTGTGATTAACTATGAACACCGCTACCAAGAAACACGTGCCAAATAGATCAGAAGGCGTAAGAAGCTCGTTCCAAATGACTCCATAAAATCCCGGAGAAGCCGAATACCAGAAGGCAATTAATGGACCAAGTCGAGTTATATTTGCTGGCGATCTCGTGGCATCGAAAGGATACCGAGATCGTGCCAGGATACAACCTTGGTTACAGAAGGTAACCGAATTCGCGCGAAGTTACAATCGAAGTGTAAGTATAAGAATGGAAGCACGAAATAGCTGTCATTAGCACAGTCAAACAAAAGCACATTAAAACAAACACTGGTACAGTTGGTTATAATAATAATTGTTTTTATTAAACCAGTCGTGTTCTCGTGATAAACGTGAGTCACTACAGGAGCCCCCCGCTAGAAAGGGTTTACACTTTCGATAAATAGCGGTTTGAATCGTGGGACTGATCGGCTGACGAGCGATTGTAGGACGGAAGAATTGGCGAACAGGAAAGCGATCGTTGATCGTCGAGTTGCCAACGAAGGTCGTTTTCGGAGAACGGTACCAGGAGCGATGTGCTGTATTTGTTGTTTGAGTTGGCATGCTACACCAGAGTGGTTTGTATCCAGAATCTGAAGATGGCGTTCGTAGGGGTCCGGACCAGAAACGCTGCAGACGTAGGACGAAACCACGTTGATCCGATGAACCAGAAGCGACCATAACGACCAAGTTCGAGACCAAGCGTGTGCCAAACATTCGAAACGAAGATATCGACTGAGTACGTTGACAAGAGCGTGGGTGATCAGGCCAGCTTTCGCCAAAGTTGACTGAAGTCGACGGAACCAAACGGAGATGGTCGAAGGCGTGGGCTCAGGAAACAAAAAGAAAATCAAAAAAGAGAAGAGTGTAGCATGCGTGTAGTATAGGAATAATCCTACACCGTATCGTTTTTTAACTGTGCGGCTAGTCGCGGAAGCGTACGGGTAACCGTACTCGGCGACCGGAACGTGAGACGGTAGTCTCGTTCGCGTCGCGTGAGCCTGCAATCTCATCCGAAGTCAAGGGCGGCGTGGTCTGCTGATCTGGACGTGAGACTGTCGTCTCGTCCGTAGACGGTGCAGATGACGCGTGCTGTTGACTGGGACGTGAGAATGAGGTCTCAGATGTATCTAGCGTGGGACCTGAAGATGATTTGAGGATCCCGCTAGTAGGTTTGCTAGGTCTAGCATTGAATCTCAGGTTGTCAGATAGGGCACTGTCATCGACGTGTGCTGGTTTGAGACGATCAATGCTGACGATCTCGACGCGGCCATGTCGATCAACCTTGAAGGTCTTTTCGTGACGAGCGATCACGTGAAAAGGGCCTTCGTAAGGTTGTTGCCAAGGTTTGCGTACCGAATCTACTCGTACAAAAACATGTGAACAGGTAGATAACTCTCGAGGGAGAGCGACCTGTCGATGTTGTATTCGAGTTGACACCGGAGACAGCGTTCGCATAAATGCAGACAGTCGATGGACGTAGTCTGATTTACCGAAATTAGGTCTGCTCCGTGGTGTGAAGAATTCTCCGGGCAGACGCAATGTCGTGCCGTATACAAGTTCAGGGCGGAACATTGGATATCTGCCTTTAAGCTCGTTCTGATCCCTAAAAGAACGAGCGGTAAGGTTTCGTGCCAGTTGCCATTTTCGTGTGCTCGTAGAGCATTTTAAGTTGGCAGTGAAACCGTTTACTTAACCATTTGGTGCTGGGTGGTAGACGGATATGCTTATGCGTATGCATTCCGTACCAAGCAGCCGGGTCAGCGAGGAGAATAGTTAATAGGGGAAAATTTCTCGAATAAAGCGTGGAATTCATCATCACGCGAATAAAAAGTGACAAGGATTCGGTACACATACGTGTGAGTCTATTATATTAATACTATTCTTATCGTTATCCGTCATGTCGCGTATATTATATATTAAAAAATATGAAAATATACGACAGACGTGGATAGATAAATCATAGACTCACCGAATTGGCTTCTTTGGAAGATTTGATCAGAAGTTGAGGCGTGTTCCAAAATACGGGTCACCAATGTAGCGTGGCGTCGAGTTGTGATTAACTATGAACACCGCTACCAAGAAACACGTGCCAAATAGATCAGAAGGCGTAAGAAGCTCGTTCCAAATGACTCCATAAAATCCCGAGAAGCCGAATACCAGAAGGCAATTAATGGACCAAGTCGAGTTATATTTGCTGGCGATCTCGTGGCATCGAAAGGATACCGAGATCGTGCCAGGATACAACCTTGGTTACAGAAGGTAACCGAATTCGCGCGAAGTTACAATCGAAGTGTAAGTATAAGAATGGAAGCACGAAATAGCTGTCATTAGCACAGTCAAACAAAAGCACATTAAAACAAACACTGGTACAGTTGGTTATAATAATAATTGTTTTTATTAAACCAGTCGTGTTCTCGTGATAAACGTGAGTCACTACAACATTGCGTCGATAATGTTTCGGCACGATTGGGCGATCCCTACCTGTAGATGTGTCACAAAGTAAGGTTTCCTTACCTGTTCCCATCTGTTTGATGCGTATTTTAAGTGTTGTGGACGATAACTCGTGCTGAAGATCACTGTCTTCTTTTTGAAGCTCGGCGAGTTTAAGGAGGTCGATTCCTTGGAAACTGTTCAAGGAAGTTATACGAGATAAAGCGTCTGCAACTACATTGTTTGCTCCAGAGATGTGTTGAATATCTGAAGTAAACTGCGAAATGTAGTCCAGTTGTCGAGACTCACGGGGAGAGTACTTGTCAGAAGGAGAGCTTAACGAGAAAGTGAGCGGTTTATGGTCCGTGAAAAGAGTGAATTCACGGCCTTCGATATAGTGTTGGAAATGCCGTACAGCACAATACATAGCTAGGAGTTCCCTACCGAATGTGCTGTACCTCGATTCGGTGTCTAGCAACCTTCTGGAGAAAAATGCCAAGGGTTGCCAGGAGTTGTTAACCCATTGTTGTAAGACTCCTCCGATTGCCGAGTCGTATGCGTCTACTGCGATGCTAATGGGTGCTCGGGTGTCCTGATGTGCGAGCATTGTTGCTTTAGCAATCAGTTCCTTAACTGTGGAGAATGCTTTTCGTGCGGTGTCGTCCAAGTTAATGGATTTCGCATTTCCACGAAGTTGGTCGGTCAGAGGTTAATAATGTCTTTCAATTGGTAAGTCACATGCAACAAGGATAATTTACAGACACATAAGACCAGATCATCGTAGTGGGTGCTTAAACAACGATTCTACTGGTTAGTTATGGACATAACTAACATCCCCCAAGCGGACACCACGTCCAGACTTCGTTACCTTTGCGCTCAAATAATCGACCTCTTCCAGTAGACACAGGTTCCGTATGTCCCGGCTGATCTCTTCGGTTGCTGTCTTCAGTCGAACAATTCTGACTCATCCATCTGGACCATAATTGACCTGTCTAACTATAGCTTTCGGCCACAGATTTCTCGGTGATTCAATATTATTTACCAATAATTTCGAGAGAACGCATAGAAATGAGTTAGTGTCCAAGGTGTGGGCCATTCCAATGTGAACTGCTATAATAGACAGGCAAGCGAACAAACATTTATTTATTTATTTTAACACATAGATATTGGTAGAAGGAGGCACCAAATACATATGCGCCACACAAATGTCGTTTGATATATGTGAGGGCTGTGATATTGGCCGGGTGCCCAAACCGATGCAGGCGGTTTCCTTAGGAGGGCCACACCCGGAGCGTCCGACCTGAAGGTCCGAACAGACGAATTATATTTTACAGTTCATGAGTTTCATGGAAACCTAACCAGAAGAAATATTTTGTCGTGTGTAGCATCTGTCTTTGATCCAATCGGGTTTGTAGCCACAATAATACTACCAGGCAGAGTGATCTTACAAGATACCTGTCGGCAGAAACTAGATTGCGATGCAGAGTTACCCATGGATTGTCAAGCGAAGTGGGATATTTCGTGTAGACATATGAAAGAGTTGAACTACTTTAGAATACCAAGATGTCTGAAACCAAGGTATGAACCATCATCTGCTCAAACTCATTGTTTTGCCGATGCTTCTGAGGTTGCGTATGGTGCTTTTACGTATATTCGTTATAAAAGTGTTTCTGGTCAGATTCATTGCTCATTTCTGCTAGCTAAGTCTACATTTGTTCCTCTAAAACTTGTCACTATGTCCAGAATGGAATTAACAACCTGTGTTCTGTGTACTAAGATTGGAAAGCATGCAAAGGAACAGTTAAATGTCCCCGTTTCGTCTGTCATCTATTGGACGGATTCGTTAATTGTGCTTCATTGCATGAAAAATACGACTAAAAGGTTTGAAAAGTTTGTGAGTCACAAGTTAGAAGCTAAACATGAGTTGTCTACGCCGAACCAATGGAGATACGTGAAAGGTAAACTGAATCCTGCGGATCACGCATCACGTGGACTCTCACTAAGTGATAAGGCTAAAATAAGGGAGTAGTTATAAGGGCCGTGATTCCTGTGGGAGGAAGAAGATAAGTGGCATAACCTAGTAAAGGGTGAGAACACTGTGGCTCGTGTATTTACAGAACATTTCGGATCCTCGAAATGCAATTACGAGTTTCTAGATCATTCAGTAATTGTAACACCTGGTTCAAAATGCTGAGAATATTCGCTCTATGTAAACAGTTCGTTCACAATATTAGGATGAGATTAGACAGAAGGCCGTTAATTCTTGGTAGATTGAGATTGGAAGAAATTGATAATGCGAAGCAGGATATAATTAAATTGGTTCAAACGATCTCCTTACCCATAGAGATGGAGACATTAAGGCAAATACAGCATAAAGACGAGCATGGTAATACATATGAATCACAAGAAAGACCGAGGAGAAGTAGGTGGATGTGTTTCGAATAAGGAAATAACACTCCATCTAATGTCTGCTGGTAAGAAAATGTGAAGTAGCATTGCGTGTAGGAGCCCGATAAAGAATCTTAATCCCTTCGTAATAGATAACGTCATTCGAGTAGGGGGAAAACTTCAATTATCGTGCTTGCCCTTTGAAAGCAAACATCCGCTTATACTTCCTAGTAATCATTCTGTTACCGACTTGATCGTAATGCACTATCATCTCCAGAACGCGCATTTTGGTATTTCTCACACCCTGAACAGTCTTCGCAAAGAGTTCTGGATCATTAAGGATCAAGCTGCTATCCGAAGAGTCCTGAAACGGTGCTTTCTATACAAGAGAATCGACAGTACGCCGTACACGCAGATTATAGCTCCAATACCCGGATGTCACCTGGGAGCTTAGGTACCAACATTCAATTCTGTTGGCGTAGACTATTTCGAACCATTTTACATTAAAACGAGGCAAGTAGTTGGAAAACGATACAGCTCTTTGTTCGCGCCCCTGAACTCCCTGGTACGGCCCAGAGTGGGGACAGTCCGCTCTCTCTCTCTTGAAATTCTCTCACATGGCCACGCGTATATCGCCTCTGCCAGGGAAGTCCTACTCACTGCTTTCTGGTGGCTGAGGTGTTATTTACGAAATTGAGAGGACAAAAATCGAATGTCCGGCGCTTTAACCGGGTTGTGGACATGGAGAGTTCACCTAGGAGAGTTGGAAAACCCTGATTCAAAACCAATGGTGTACATGGGCTCCAGTATCCTGAACGAACAAATGGCGTATGAACCAATCATTGGTCACCGGCTACCATGGCACTGCATCTCTTTACGATGCTCACTGCCTCGTGGATCAGACCTTCAGGTCGAAGGCTCCGGGTGTGGCCCTCCTAAGGAAACCGCCTGCATCGGTTTGGGCACCCGGCCAGTATCACAGCCCTCACATATATCAAATGAGATCTGTGTGGCGCATATGTATTTGGTGCCTCCTTGTACCAATATGTATGTGTTAAAATAAATAAATAAATGTTTGTTCGCTTGCCTGTCTATTATAGCAGTTCACATTGGAATGGCCCACACCTTGGACACTGACTCATTTTTATGCGCTCTCTCGAGATTCGTTGCTAGGCAGGATCACCCAAAACATGTGTTTAGCGACAACGGCTCAAACTTCAGAGGAGCCGACGCCAGTCTTAGACAGATTGTGTGTAGTCGGGATCAGAGTAAAAATAGCAAATGCCCTTCTGGAAAGAGGTTGTGAATGGCACTTTAACCCTCTGAGAGCTAGTCATCAAGGCGGCATATGGGAACGCATCATAAAGTCAACAAGAAGAATTCTACGATCAATACTGTTTCAGAAGGTATTGACGGATAAGTCTCTGGAGACGTTTTTAATAGAGGTTGAAGGAATACTGAACAATCGATCACTCATAAAGCTAGTTAATGAATGTGATAATCTGGGTGTACTTATGTCAAATAATTTATTGTTAGTTTACAGAGGTGTATCATTCGACGAAGCGCAGATCAGTAAAACGTGTTTATATAACAGAAGATAGAAGGAAGCGTAACAACTAGTCAACCTATTTTGGTCTGATGTGTCTGTAAACTATCCTCGTTGCATGTGACTTACCAATTGGAAGACATTATTACCCTATTATATTAGTGTGACTCATAATTTTATTCATTTCGATAAGACGCGCAATGCTGGTCGGTATGTTTGTGCGTTTCACTTAATAACTGTAATTTTCTTAATTATTGTACTGATCTGATTGTTTTCACGTTCAGAAACAGATAAAGTTTGAGGCCAAGTTGTCTTTGTTCTGACTATAGATTTCATATAGACTCTGTGATCGTCAGTATCGCGTTTACGGTTCCAATAGTATATCTGTAAGACAAATAAATTTCCACTGTAAATGTCCTTTCAAAGTGATGTGTGAAAACAGTTCATACATTTTGCGCGTTATCGCTATTGAAAGATTTCACGATATACATTGTCAGTAAGAATAAACTGATTGAAGGAGACTCACAATTAAAATTACTATTACGTAATGTCTTTTTCCATCCAGCTACTTCTATTACACAATAATCACATTTAAATACGAAATATCACTCCAACAAACTACTTACAAATGACCGCCTTCTACTTGTACGGTAGATAGAACACTCAATGTATTTATCCACATTTCTTTTTCACATGATCCAATGTATCCAGAAATACGGTGAAATGTACGACTCTAAAAACAAGATTGAGTATTTTACATGAAAGAGGACAACGGAAACAAGTATCATAAATTATATTCGAAATAAAACCGTGATTTACATACACATCACAACTGTGTAAGAAACATGATTCACATCCAATCAGATGAGAGGACTGTAAATTGTATTAGTCATCGCAAGAAATTTACATTTAGTTACCTATCATCAATAGCAACTATGCGATTCATACTACTCTGAATCATTTGTTTCCACGTTCAAATTGTGCTCAATCCACCTATGCATGGAGGACCGTGTACTATGATTAACCAGAACACAAATATTGTAGCACAATGCCAGCTATACGAACTTATATTGGGCATAAACAGGACAGGAGTATTGCCTTTTCCACTCCTTATGGTGACAGAAAAAGCGTTCTCGTCAAGAACAGTCTGCTCTGCTCTCTTACTGAAGCGACAAAGGTTTAAGTGACGGTGTGACTTAGTGCGTAATCAAAGGAGAAAATTGTGTTCTACTCACCATAGTTCCTTAGAATATGGCACTTCATAGTATTACTGTCCAGAAGACAAACTCTCACTAATAAGGATAAACATAAAACCACATTTATCCAACAAAATATGTTGTAGTAGTAACAGTTGAATCCTGATTATCCATATACGTACAAATTAATGTTGAGTGATAAAGATCTCTTCCTAGAGCGACTCATCGATATCATAGAAAAACAGTTATGCATAACCCACATATTTCTTACATAAAACAATAATTTTACTTGACATCCAGCGCCTACTTTACAATGAGTCAAGAAAAAAGGAAGATTTCATTTTTCAAGAATTTCTCATTTGCATCAATAGGAAAATGGAGAAACGAATATCATTCAACGAAGTCTATAGAAACTCATGAAAAGTTTGAAAATGTTTTGCTAAATCGGCATTGAATAGACGCTTCTCAGAAACATCTGGAAAAATGAAGGATCATGTTCGCCTATTTTCTATATTCTTCAAGTGTAGAAGTAGGCTGAGGTAATAAAAAGCGCCTACCAAGTCAGTAACAGTCACTGTCAGATATATTAGAAACCAACCATATACATGGCACTTATGCGAATAAATTAACTCAATGCTTACTTAATCAGTGTGTCTACATATAAAAGCCATGCCTGAACGTGTGGTGAAAACTCCAACAACGTTGGTACCTAAAGATGAGCACTATAAACCACTGGAACAAAATTTAGAAAATAAAATAACAATAGTATTACCTAAACATTTTAGGATGTTATGTGAATGGAAATTAAGACAAGCGTCAGAAAAAAATTATTATCACGATAATGAGATCTGGTTAACAGTCAAACAACTTAGTCCGTACTGGTGTGAAGTGTACTATTCTATGCACACGGCATCTAATGGCAAAAAATAAAGGAAATGGCGTTCATTACCACCTGCTATCTTGTAGATTACAATTTCAGGACAAAACTTCGAATGATTGTCCTCAGAGTAGTCCATAAAATTCAGTCTATGCGCACAAATATTCACACATATTACAATGGTACGAAATACTGGTAAGTCTATAGTAAACACTTGGTTAAAAACTTTATATCATAATACACAAAACCATTTTGTATTAGTGATTTAAATTTAATTCTATATTTTACTCAGAAACTCATTTCTGTTAAAAAGTTTTATTGAAGGGAACTTTAAACACTGACAAATAGCCTGTCCATTTTAAATAAAGAAGTTGTTTCATCCATTCATGACCAACTTGTTTTCCGATTTATCTGTAACAAAAATACGTGGTGCAAGTGACGATCAACTCAATGCCATTCCGCTACCAATACTCGTCAGTTTCCATCTATAAGCATGTTACATGCGTTGAACGGCAGAAACGTGAAGCATTGTTACATGGCTTGTAAAACACTCTACATCCATTCATCTTTAGTGGTTAGACTTTACAAATAATAGTGTGGTTACCTATGGCTTTGTGACAGGAGAAACCTATCCTGTGTAGCGTACGATCAAGTGGTTTATGTGAATCTCGGTAATACATAGCATCGTCGTAACATCAGTCTAGTCATAAATGGTTGGATACACAATACAGTGGTGTGAGTAGTTCAGATCTACTCTTGACAAAACTAGAACATCTTAGCTCAATATGCTAAACATTTCACTGAGTTAGTTGGCTGATGTGTTGAGTCGGCTTCCGGTTGGTTGGCCAGGGCCAACCAGAGTACAATGAAAAGTCCGAGAATTCCAGCGTGGCGTGCTATTATTGCTCCGTAGCATAATATGACGTTAACGGATTGGTTGAAATATGATGTTGATTTAACAGACGCCAACATCTATAAATACCATTGATTTTCTGTACAAAAATGCACCTTGGGATAAAGTATTTACTCCCATACTTGTGCCTTCTCTCTGGTGTTCAAGTAACTGTGTAGTTCTAGTCTGCAGGTGACTGCCAATCACTTAACTGTATATTCAAATTTGCTTTAGTCTGTATATATGATGATGAAAATAATGCGACAAACAATTGTCAGACGTGTAATTAAAATTAATTTTTATGCGATTCCTCATGGTTTCTGTTGTTGATTGAAAATCTCCACTATTCATATTGGCAAACAATCTGACTCGTAGCTTGTCTATCCGTGAATGTGTAGAGTATTCAAAACTTTATGTTCATTTAGTGGATAAAATGTGACAAAAAATTATTTTGAAAACTGTTTCCATTGTAAGTCATTATGTTGAGGAATATAAACATTTTATATGACCGGTCAGAATGAGTTACACCTGATATGCTCTTAGTAAACATATATATATATTGGTCTCGGTTCAGCTGGAGACGTTGTAGTTTGTTGTTTTGAGGTCACTCTATTATATTTCTGTTACCATTTGTGCAGTTCCGTTATGGTGAACGAGAACGAACAGGTGGGACAAACAAATACATTCGAATACGGAATTACAGAATGCCTTAGCTTAGTAAAATCTGAGAACCATACAGTAAATTATTCATTTGCGAAATGTCAATCAATCGTCTCAGCCTTGACTATTCCTTCGTTTCCACACCAATCGCTCTCTCTTTTCATCCTCTTTTCTTCGATCTTATTAACCTTCTACTGCCAGACACTCCACTTTCGAGTGACGATACATACTACTTATATCTGTCGACTTATATCTGTAGCACACAACACACTGTGACTGTATTCAGTCTAATCAGTTCTTCTAAGTGAGATTAATGTCCACACCATATCCATACTATGTGGGTATGACACTGATTTATTATCCAAGAATATTCTTCATTTGATGTGTTTCATGAACATCTAAGTAAAGCCACAAAGTTAGATTTCTGGGTCCCGGTAGACAGTATATATACTGTGTTATATATATATATATATATGTATATATTGTGTTCTATCTTGCAAACCTTTACATGTCTTCTTTTATAAGCCATGTTCTCTGTATTTATTGTTTCTCACTACCAATACTCCTAAAATTATTCCCCATATTTCTGGTTGTGTGTGGCCATTGGATTTCGATAAACGTAAGAAATTTCTGTAAAGTCCCAATGGTAATGTGCCTCTCTGAACTATTGTGACTGGATCTTAATGTAATAAGAACAAACTGACTTCCGTTGCTTTCCCAACAGAAGCTTCATCAAGTGAATGACATTTTCTTTGGAAGTCACCAGTAATGTAAAATATCAGTTGAAAGTTGATCACTCACTGAACGGCTGTTTATTTTCCCGCTGCGATTTTCTGTTTATATCATTAGTAAAAACATTACAATTATGGCCGCGATCCTACTAACCATTGTTGTTTTCGTTCTACTTTCGGTAATGAGAACAATTATTCCGCCTATTGTGTGGAATATCATGCTTCCTACTTTCCTGAGTATTTTGATGACTACTGTCATCATAAACTCGTTATATGTTGTGTTATATTTTCACATAACAAACATGGTAATTGGCTTTCTGTCAAAACCAGAAGATTTGTACGTGCTACTGAGCCGACGGTTTAATGATGCTAAAATATGCTCACGATCTGACATCTTACACAAGACACACTTATGTTGAACGAAGTCATGAATTGCATATGTGGACTGATAAGATGTAGACAGGTCGAACACGTTACATCAAAGGTTTATCGTAGCACAAATTATCTTAAGTTTTCTGTTGAACACAGACGAGGGAAATAGACTATAAATGAAGAACATGTATCTGAAGGAAAATCAAATGACAGACGGTGACCACTTCAACTAACCACTAAAACCAAGGACAAAATACATGGCTCTTAGTTGATGTGTCGTATTATGTGGTGGATTAGTTCAAAATGGGAATTTTGAACAGCATCCACGATATCTGCGATTCACCTGTTTTCCATACAGATACGTCTGTTGTTTATGCCTGATCACTTATAGATACTACTGCAAGCGCTTTTTTCCATTAAGATATTAGGCGAAACAACAGACCAAACCTTCAACTTATTTGGATACATAAACATGTATATGATTTTACAGTGTCATCAATATTCTAGCTTCTGTTGATGTTAAGGTAATAAATCAGCATTTCATTTTTTAAATTGAATCCATGAATAAATGAAACGGGTTGTTACTCACATATTGCTTGATGACAGACAATGGACTCCATTTGAATTGGTTTTTCTGGAAAAGTCGGATACTTTTGCAGGTTAAAATGTCCTTTGACGGTGGAAGCCAGCGAATAAGGTGTGACCCGATCACTCTTAATATCATTTCTGTTCATGCACCAGAATTCAGATCACTCCACATGGTCTTCAAATTTATCCTCATTTAAAATAATATACAACCGTCCGAGATTTTGCTCGATCGCGATGTCAGTACGATGATTAAAAGTACTCGAATTAATGTACAAACTTAGAATTTCCGAATCAGTCAGAACTAGATGAGTGAATGTACTACAAATGAATGTACTATATTTGCAATTCGTAACCAGTGCGCAATCA